CTCACGAGTAGCTGGGACGACACGTTCACGCCGCCAATGCCGGCTAATTTTTTTTTTTTTTTTTTCAAGTAAGAGAAGTGGTTACATGTTCCCAGGCTGTCTCGAACTCTGAGCTCAGGCAATCCGCCCGCCTCGCCCCCCAAGGTGCTAAACCGATTACAACGGCGGCTGAGTCAAAAATCAACAAAGACAGCCTGGCCGGGGGAAATGTTTATAAAGAACAAAAAGATAATTTGCAGGTAATTCCCCTTGAAGGACTGCCTGGCCCATCCCTGGCTTTCCACAACATTTTGTGTTCTTTAAAACATTTTCCCCCGGCCAGGGCTGCTGATACTAGCTCACCGCCTGTAATCCTAGCCACCCTTGCGGGACGGACCGAGGCGGGCGATTGCCTAGCTCAGGGGAGGTTCCGAGACCAGCCTCGGCGAAACATGGTGAAACCAACTTCTCCTACTGAAAAAACAAAAAAAACCAGCCGGGCATGGCGGGCGTGCACCTCGTCGTCCCAGCTACTCGTGGGTAGCGCAGGAAAATTGCTTGAAACCCAGGAGGCGGACGTTGTGTGGGAGTCTCACCACTGCACTCCAACCTGGCGACGAGTGAGACTCCTTTAAACACACACAAAAATTTCCTCAATGTTGCGGTAGGGGGGTGTATTGTTTACATCCAATCTTTCGCATTAAATCCCTTTATAGCTCTCAGTGGTGGCCTGGCAGAATAAAACCCCAATCCTTAACATTCCAGTTGTATTTTAGTGGTACCCGGACCTTCCATTTTTAGCGGAGCCCTAGCTCTTTTTCTGCCATGTGGCCCTAAGAGGTGGGAACGAATGGTACTCTCCTACCCAAGCTTTTGCTCTTTATTCCTGGGCTCCGTTTTTTGCTCTCCTTTATTCCTTTACAGAGGCATTTTTTGTGGTCGATCCATTCGGGTATTCAATCTATTATCCAAAGAACAGGTTCCGTTGGCAGTGCTCCAAGAGAGCAGCCCAGTCGGTCTGACTCGGAAACTCCGTGCCTGGTCAAGCCACCATACGTAGGCCGTCTACTGGAAGACTTGTTTAGGTCACCGGAGTCACTGCAGGCAGCAGGTGAATCAGGAGAGAGTCCCCCACACCAGACAAAGGGGCTCCTGAGACCCTTCGGGGAGCCGAGGCCAGGTTTCGTCTCCCTCTGCTGTCAGGGCAATGCCGTCGACCAAGGCGCTCAAAGGGCTGGGGGACTGTTCTGGCAAACCAGCACAACCTCCCCCAATACTGGTCCGCAGTAACTCGATCTTTCCCTTAGGAAGGCGCTTCGCGATCGCAGGCGCCCAGTTCAGGGCGAGGCATCACGGGTTTGTAGTCTCCGTGGCATATACCCACCGCGCCTTGCGCACCGGTGAGGCGCGCACCGCCCCTCTCCACGCCCTAATCAGGATTCGGGTCCTCGTAAGCGAGCAGTCCAGGCGACAGCGTTTCCACCTAAATACGCCTCCTCTCGCCGCCGGGGACAGCCGGGCTGGAGAAAGAATCCGCTCTTCGGAGGTTGGCGTCCGTCCTGGAAGGCCGGCCGGACATCCGTACACACCCGCCGGAAAGTGAGCGGCTCCCTGGCGCGGGGCATTGTGGGGGGCGGTAGCTCTCCTTTCTCAGGCGGTCTTCGCGGCCGTCCCCGGGGCACGACTCCCGAGCGCAGCGGGCAGCCCAGGCGGGCCGGCGCCGGCGCGGGCCCGGCAGGAAGGCGTAATTCTGGGCCACGGGGCGGCCCGGCGGGCCGCTGCGCCGAGGCGGCAGTGGTGGATACCACGCCAAAACGGCCTCGCCGCGGCGCCGCCCGTCCGAGGGGCGGGCCGGCGGCGGAGGCCACTGGGCCGTCCGAAGGGCGCAGGAAGGCGGTGGGGCGGGGCCGGGCCGCGCGCGGCAGGCCATGCCTGGCTTTACGTGCTGCGTGCCAGGCTGCTACAACAATCGCACCGGGACAAGGGCGCTGCACCTTCACAACGTTTCCAAAGGACGCTGAGTTTGCGGCGGCCTCTGGGCTCAGAACCGTGTCGCGTGGCCGGCGTCAGTGGGTGCTTCTCCCCTTCCAGGCCCCACCCACAGGCCACCCCGTCTTCGCAGCGTTCAGCTTTCAGGGCGGCGCCCAGCAGACCTACACCGGTACGCGTCCCCACCATCTTCCCGCTGCGCGGCGTCCAATGAGGCGCAAAGTTAGGCGCGGCAGACCCCCGCCTGGGGCGCCGCGGCCGCCCGCCGCAGGCAGCAGAAAGCAGCAGCAGCAGCAACAACAACAACAAGACACAGCCAAACCAGCCAGCATCAAGCCAGCACGATCTTGGCTCACAGCAACCTTCATCTTCCGGGTTCAAGCTATTCTCCTGCCTCAGTCTCCCAAGTAGCTGGGACTACAGGCATGTGCACCATGCCTGGCTAATTTTTGTGATTTTAGTAAAGATGGGGTTTCAGGTTGTCCAGGCTGGTCTCGAACTCCTGACCTCAGGTGATCAGCCTGCCTTGGCCTCCCAAAGTGCTGGGATTACAGGCATGAGCCACCGTGCCTGGCCATGTTTAAATTTTTATAAAACGTGTGTAATAGAGATAAAATTCAGCAAAAGATCATTGTAACTGTTATGGTTCAAACTCTACCTGTCTCAGGACTCACCTTGCTCAAAAAGTGGTGAGAGGCCAAATTGATGTAATTTCTTTATGCACAGAATATTGAAAATTATGCCCAATGAAACTCTAATTTCCAGTACATAAAATCACCTGTTATCTACACTTAATCTTCTAACTCAAAGCATATCTGGAATGCATGGCTTTTTCCTCACCTCCACTGCCCAACTCATTCTCTGTCTTAATCACCTCTGGAGAAAGGCAAGAACCTTTCGCATGTCTCCCTGCCTCCAATCTTGCCTCTCCTGCAATCTTTTCTTCACATGGCTGCCAAATAAAATCTGATCTGTCATACCTCTGCTTAAATTCCTCCAGTGGCTTCCTATTCCATTTAGAATAATGTCCAGATTCACCGGGCATGGTGGCTCACGCCTGTAATCCCAGCACTTTGGGAGATTGAGGTGGGCGGATCACCTGAGGTCAGGAGTTCAAGACCAACACGGAGAAACCCTGTCTCTACTAAAATTAAAAAATTAGTATATTACATGTTTAAATTTTTTTTTTTTCACGAGTAGCTGGGACGACAGGTGCACGCCGCCATGCCCGGCTAATTTTTTTTTTTTTTTTTCAGTAGAGAAGTGGTTTCCCCATGTTTCCCAGGCTGGTCTCGAACTCCTGAGCTCAGGCAATCCGCCCGCCTCGGCCTCCCAAGGTGCTAGGATTACAGGCGTGAGCTAGTATCACAGCGCCTGGCCGGGGGAAAATGTTTTAAAGAACACAAAATGTTGTGGAAAGCCAGGGAGGGGCCAGGCAGTCCTTCAGGGGAATTACCTGCAAAATAGCCCTCCTCTGCCGAGTTCTTCCTTCTCCCAATTTTTTAAAAACTTATTTTTGGTTCGGGGGTACGTGTGAAGATGTATTGCATAGGGGAAGTCGTGTCACTGCAATTTGTTGTACAGATTATTTCATCACCCAGGTATTAAGCCCAGTACCCAATAGTTATCTTTTCTGCTCCTCTCTCTCCTCCCACCCCCCTCCCTCAAGTAGACCCCAGTGTCTGTTGTTCCTTTCTTTGTGTTCATGAGTTCTCATCATTTAACTCACACTTGTGAGAATATGTGGTATTTGGTTTTCTGTTCCTTCATTAGTTTGCTAAGGATAACGGCCCCCAGCTCCATCCATATTCCCACAAAAGACATGATCTTGGTCTCCTCCCAATTTTTCTTGTCTTTCTTTACCCTTTCACCTAACTCTCACTCCTCATTTTTTCTCTCCTGGTAGCAGGTCACAGGCATGAAATGGAAACCTAATATACATTATTTCTAATTATAGTATTTGACATAAAAACAAAATAGGGCCGGATGCGGTGGCTCACGCCTGTAATCCTAGCATTTTGGGAGGCCGTGGCGGGCGG